TTGTTCGTTATTCGACTGCTAATTAAGGCTCCAACTGAATTATTCTGCTAATCTTAATGAACAGAAATGCATTTATAATCGACGATGTTCATTTTATGCACAGTACTCGCTAAAAACAAGCGTTTTTGTTTTTAATTCTTGCATAAATGATTAAAACTATTTTATATTTTTAACTATTATTAAATTCTTCTTTGCTTTAATTTGTAATTTTGTTATTGCTGTTGAAACTAAACCAGCAGCAGAATCACAACCATTACAGCCATGATACTCTTAACTTTCATTTCTTTTTTTGATTACTAGCAATTTCACTTAATAAAAATAAATATTCTTTACAGTGAAAATCTTTTGGTCCATCATCTGAAAATAAGATTATCTTTTTTGATCTTTTAAATATTTGTTGGTTTAAACTATATTTATTATAAGATAAACTTCTTGACACTCCCTGCTAAATCGGCTCGCCATTGTATAGCAAGAAGTGCAAGTCCACGATGTCGTACGTTACCAATAACAATTAAAATGACAAATAAAATGGAAGTAGAAACAATAAGTAAACAGTGAACTAGAAGAAAACTACAATAAAAATAAAAAATGTTTAACAAAGTCAGAGAATGACTTTAGTTGCAAAATAAGAGATAAGTAACAAGAAGAGAACTGAGGATTAGAAAGGAAGTGTTGTTCATTTGAAACGTTTTGTTTCGCAAATATAATCTATTATTATTTTATAAAGGTCTTGATAAAATTGATGAGGGAAGATTTTCCGTAGGAGTAGTGTTTCAAAATCGATGTCGATAGTCGAGTCACGATGTTTTATTCTATCGAAAAGTCTCAGTCTAACTTATTAGAACGGGTGTTATGGGATGGGTTATACATCGGTTATATATATTTACAAAGAAATGATGAAGCTTTTTTATAAATGATTTTATGGAAATGTCTCAATTTGTTAGCTTAAGGGGGGTACATCCCCGTATGTATAGATCTATTAGCGCCAAATTGTAGAGAAAGTGAAACTGCACCTAGGTCTAGTATTTGAAAATTTTTTTTAAACAAAGCTTTCTAATTGATGTCTTGGTAGTTCGATAGAGTAAACCGAGTTGTATATGCCCTGAAATTTTTTGCGATACTTGCACGAGTAAACTCAGAGAGAATATGATTTTTCCATTATAGTGCGTTTTTGCTACTAAAAAGTATTTTTTTAAAACCTTGCCTGTAATTTCAGGAATATAATGCATTATAATTAAAAAACTGTCTTGGCAGAAAGATGCGCCATGAAATTCTGAGTAATGTGAGCGGATCAGAATTTTCATTTTGGAAAAAAAAATTCGAACAAAAAAATAGAATTTTTCGTGCCTCCTTGACAAATATCATCAAGTTCACCTATCTTAGTGCTTTAAAGGAATCTTTCTTGAACTCATCTCCTCAGACCCGGAACATTTTATATACAGAAAGATAGAGAATTTTCTAGGCTTCAAAATAAGCTACAAAGAAGTCTTTCGAAAATATGCCTATATGGCTCAATAGTCGAAATACTGGGCCGATATAATGATTTTCGCCTATCATAGTGCTTTAAACACGCCTCTACTCATTTTTCTGACATAAAGAAAAATTATATATTTTTCAAAAACATACCATTCGATAGTCTTTGAAATTCTCTACAAAGTGAGCTGGTCAGAATATATACACAGGTGGAGCTAGTAATTAAAGATATGGAAAAGAAGCGTTTGGGTGATATCTATACAGTACAGCGTGTCGTAATGAGAAGAACTCGTTTGTTTTTGATTTTTCAGTAAACGCTGGAACAAATCTAAATAATGTTTTGAATAGCCCAAAGATTTTTCTATCAGATGAGGTGCATATCGACCTTTCATGAGGAAAGTTGCTAATAGGCTTTCTGGAAAACCGGATTGCTGAAACATTAAATCTTTGGTTTTTGGTCAGAAAATTTTGCAAACCATATAGCCTGATAGAGCAAATAATTCTGAGGAAAATAAGCCATCTCCCGGCTGTCTGTAACGCTTTTTCAGCGGAATGTTTTCGTAATTTTCACGCCCTTTGTAGCCATTCGTAAATCGACTGCAGTTGATGAAAAAGCGTTATAGCACATCCTTTCGGCTGAAAATATTTCGAAATCAGCACTTCTCCGCATGTAGTACCGAATTTCCCGACTCCGTTTTTACAGATTTGAACAGCAGCTAGCGCCCGCATTCTTACATCATTCGAATCGCCGGGAGACGCGCAACAACTTAATGTTTTGCTTTTTTCGATGTTCTTTTCCTGTATTGAGATAGAGCACCCGGAAGCGAAACATGTCAAAATCAGCCAGATCATTGTCGAATAAAAAATTCGTTTTTCCTTCAAAACTGATGAAAACAAGTCCAAATAGGTAAAAAACGACGGTGAATCTTACAGGAGTGGTTTCGGAATGATTCGAGAGTCACATAGGGACCACATGCAAAGTCCTTCGGTACGAATTCTCGACCTTTAATGATTCGAATGATGTTTTGACTTTTTCCGAATATATTTTCTGACTACGATAAAAAAACATTTCAGCATGTAAAATCGTCTAAAAAAACATTAGCGTTTGCGATTTTTTTATGACTAATAATTTCATCTTTACACATTGCATAAACAAAATCCAGTGCTTCCATCTTCTAAATCGGAAAACTTTTCCGAAACTTATCGCCTCTTTTCCCACCTAAAACATTCATATGCGAAATAAAAACATTCACTTTCTGTGAAAATTTATTTTTTTGTCTGACTACCTCTGTTATCCTTTATGAATTCATCAAAATCAAAGTTGACGAAAATCTCTGACCATTTCTGACACGTTTGCGATGTCATTCCGCATTTTAAAAAGGAATCAATTTGTCGCCATGAATGGCCAAAACGACGAAGTGTCATGTTGAGTAACACACTGATGAATCTTGTGTTTATTTGTGTCTTACAAAATGAGAATAAATCACTGATATCGTACGGAATAGAATCAGCATTGAAATTGGTTGCCTCCATTTCTTCAAATATGTACAACGGCTGTTCAAATATGTAAAAACGGAGTCGGGAAATTCGGTACTACATGCGGAGAAGTGCTGATTTCGAAATATTTTCAGCCGGAAGGATGTGCGGCATCTGGCTCTAAACCATGTGTCTAAGGTCAGTTCCATCCAAGGATTCAAATATCACGTCAAAAAAATTCTAGCGTAAAAGGGGGCTGAGATAGAGCGTGTTTTTGAAAGATGCGCGTTTTTCTCATTTTTGATACGTCCGCAATCCAAGCATTTTTCTCCATGAAGATGCGGTCATAACTAAAAAATAAGATCAGATTCGAACTCCATCCTAAAAGTTTTCTTATTTTCATTCGATTCGTAAGACGTAATGCACCGCTTACTAATAAAGATGCATTGTATTGCACATGTTCGAAAGCAGAAATGTTGGATTGATTGATATAGATACACGATCCATAAATGGTCACTGAGAGAAAAATTGTTTTGTGTAACTGATTTAATGTGGACGTAGGCAGGCACCAGTTTTTAACTGATGTTGAGGCATCCGGAAGAATTGCTATACATCAGTTATCACGATTCTGACAGAGCTGTGAAACATCTCATTTTGTAGAAAAATGTTTGCTTTACAAAATGCATTTGTTAAAAGAATTCCAGAATCATTTCTAAGAAAACTCAGAGAATTCAAAAATATATTAAATCACAGAAAAAAAACTGTTCTTTCGTGAACAACTTTCGTGAAGAACACTGTGTTTTTTCGTGCTTTCATACATTTTAGAATGCTCTAGGTTTTCTCAGAAATGATTCTGGAATTTTTTCAACAAATGTATTTTGTAGAGCAAACATTTTTCTACAAAATGAGATGTTTTACAGCTCTGCGAGAATCGTAATAACTGATGTATAGCAATTCTCCCGGATGCCTCAACACCAGTTAAAAACTGGTGCATGCCTATGTGGATGTACTGAAAATTCTTTTACATGTTTTTATCATATTTAATAACTTTTCACATTTATTTAAAACATATTGTTGATGTAGTATCCAATCTTTACTCGTCAAAAAATTCCTAGGTGTATTCGTTGTTTAACCTCATTTAGACTGATGTTATTTATTATGAGAGGAGGTGGTGTTAAATTGTAGCTAAATGTCATTGACTTACATTTCTGTTCATTCAGAGGCAATTGCCACTCAACTGACCATTGATGCATTTTTAACAAATCGATATTTAAATGTGCTGTTAAATCATGTATATCACTATCAGAATGATGAATGACTGTATCGTCAGCAAACAACTGTGTGCATGAGTTTAATGATTCTCCAATATCATCAATGAAAACAAGAAACAACAGTGAACCGAGAACGCTTCCTTGGGGAATGCCTCGGTTCACTTTTTTCGGAGACAACAGACTTCTATTAATCACTGTTATTATTTCTATATCAGACACATAGCTCTTATACCAACTCAGTAGTGAGCCGCGAATACCTTTCATTTCTAATTTATGCAGTAATCCTCTTAACCAAACACGATCGAACGCCTTACTAAAATCCAGACAAATAGCTCTTATTATTTGCCCTTTATCTCCATTCTGATAAATTGTATTAACAAAATCAATCAGCTGATTCACTGTAGAATCACCCTTAATGAATCCCGATTGCATACTCGACAACAACTTATTCGTAGTGAGATAGTGATACAAATGATGATATACAACGCGCTCAAAAACTTTACTGAGAATTGGTAAGAGAGTTATTGGCCTATAATTATTTGTACTAGAAGAATCGCCGTCGTTAAATAACGGATTGATATAACCTTGGAACGGACCTAAACAATGGGTATTCGCCTGTTTCTATTGACTAATTAATCATACTCGCTATGTAAACTGATGAAATTATAGATGATTCTCTCAACAAGCGCGATGTTATTCCTGGACTGCTTGCTTTGTTTATATTTAATTTACTTAGGATAAGTTCAAATATTTGTTCATTTTTAAATACATAATCTAGACAATGTATTGCAAAATTCCATCCGGCAAACCCATCATGAGTTTTTTCTTCTTTAATATTTCTATCAGCTAAATTGTGATAATATATTGTAACTACTCTCTTGAAATTTAATCTTTATATTTTAGTCCAATAACAAAATCTGTAACTTTATATAAAAATTTTGTAAAATCTGTTGTTAATAAAACTTTAATTTCTTCAGTATTGAACTTTAAATAATTGTAAAGTTAGGAGAAAGAGCAGTTAATGATTTAAATAATGAGGTAATGAAGTACAGAACTGCTATAAGCATGATTAACTAATCATAATGTGTTTATTTCATTGATATTTCGACAGAATCCACTGTCATCATCAGAATGAAAAAAGTGTAAATGAGTGTGTCAAATTTGAAACTATACATAGTCAAATATAGACTATGTTATATTTCTACTAATAAGCCCAAAATTTGGCTTAGATATGTCGATGACGTTCTTTGTATTTTTAATAAGGAACAACAGATATCTAATTTTCTATCTCGTATAAATAAGTGGCATAATAATATCAAATTCACAATAGAAGAAGAGAAAAATGACCGTCTTCCATTTCTTGATCTTCTTATTATACGAAATGATAAGAAATATGAAACATGTGTCTATCGAAAACCTACTACAACAAATCTATTTCTATTATATGACAGCAGCCAAGCTCGAAAGTATAAATTAGGGCTGATTAAATCTCTCTATGTACGTTCACTTCGTCTCTGTTCATCCGAATCTCTTCTAAAAATTGAAAAAAAACATCTAATACAAACATTAAGAATTAATGGCTATCCTTATCATATCATACGACGAGGACTTCGTGAAGCCAAAGTAATTTTCAAGAAAATAAACACACCTCAAGCTCGACAACCTCAAATAACAAAAAAGAACGAAATTTTCTTCACTTTCTCTTATTATGGGCCAGAATCTATCGAGTTCGGCCAGAAAATAAGAAAGCTTTGTAACAAATTATTACCAAACATTACGCTGAATGGAGCTTATAAGAAATATTCTACTCTTAAAAATATATTCTTACCAATTCAAAAAGGCGTCGATCTATCTCGAAAAGATAAGAAATTAATCTATTGTATATGTTGTAATAATTGTGAAATGAAATACACCGGAGAAACTAATCGGAAAAAGTCTACTAGAATGAGTGAACATATAAAAGATATTAAAGAAAACAAAATAACTTCACAAATCGCACAACATTGTAATACTAACAATCATTCTATGAATTTCACTAATGTTGAAACTCTAGCTCTAGAATCAACTTGGAAACGAAGAGTAATCAAAGAAAGCCTATTAACAATGCAAGCAAACGAAAAAGCTATCAACGATGTGAAATATAAACTAAAAGTTTTCTGATTAATACTCTAAGAGTGCAATATATGCGGCACAAATATGTCGTTACAACAGAAATAAGCGCTTCTTTTTGTCGACTCTACTCATCTACAAACTGGACGTGTTTTTTTTTTTTTGTTCTATATTTTATTATTTTTTCCCCCGTTTTGTTT